ATGTATGCTACTACTGCCACGAGCCCGGACACTTCGCGAACCGTTGTCCGAAGAAGGCGCAGCAGCCTCAGCAGCCACCGCAGCAGCAGCAGCCCCGTCAGTAGGCACAGAGGCCGCCTCAGCAGCCGCAGCAGAGGGGCAGACAGCAGGCCCGAGTTTACGCAGTCGATCAGGCAGAGGCCGAGCAGCAGCCATGTACTATGTCAGGGATGGTTGTTCTTAATAATGTTCCTGTGTTTGCTTTGTTCGATACTGGAGCGACACATTCTTCCATTTCACGACGATGTCTTGATGCCATCGGAGTTCATGCCGTTACCGCTGTCGATCCTCTCGAGGTGAGTTTGGCCTCGGGACGAAAGATAATGACTTCAGCTAAAGCTTCAGATCTTAGCCTTTCTATCGGTGGCCGAGTATTGCTTACCGACTCGTTTGTTCTCGAGATGAGGGACTTTGACCTTATTCTCGGAATGGATTGGCTATCCTTTTATCATGCGGATATCAGATGTCATGACCGGGAGATTACTCTTTATCTTCCAGGAGACGAGTCGATTACTTTCTTTGGCTCCAGGAATCGTTCATTGCCTCATGTTGTTTCGATGGCGAAAGCCACTAAGTTGCTTCGACGAGGCAACTGCCAGGGTTATCTGGTGAGCCTTGTCGACGATTCTCAGAAAGCACGCTCACCTCACGATGTTCCAGTTGTTCGTGAGTTTGTGGACGTGTTCCCAGACGAGCTTCTAAGAGGACCGCCTAACCGGCAGGTGGAGTTCTCTATCGATCTCATTCCAGGAGTCGGTCCAGTATCCAAAGCCTTGTACCGTATGGCGCCGAAGGAGTTGCAGAAGATTAAGGCGCAAATTGAGGAGCTATTACGGTTCGGTTTCATTCGACCGAGCGTGTCACCTTGGGGAGCACCCGTTCTCTTTGTTAAGAAGAAGGACGAATCCATGCGCATGTGTATCGACTACCGGGATCTTAACCGGTTGACGATCAAGAACAAGTATCCGCTTCCCAGAATCGACGACTTATTTGATCAGTTGAGGGGAGCCTGTGTATTCTCAAAGATTGATTTACGATCAGGCTACCACCAGCTGAAGATTAAGGAGTCAGATATCTCTAAGACCGCTTTCAGGACTCGTTACGGCCATTACGAGTTCATTGTCATGCCATTCGGTCTCAGCAATGCTCCAGCGGTTTTCATGGACCTGATGAATCGTATTTTCCATCCCTACCTTGATCAGTTCATTATTGTCTTTATTGACGACATCCTCATCTACTCGAAGAGCCAGAAGGAGCACGAGGAGCATCTGAGGGTGGTTCTTGAAACCCTCAGACGAGAAAGGTTGTTTGCAAAATTCTCCAAATGCGAGTTCTGGCTCCAGCGAGTATCTTTTCTGGGTCATGTGATTACTCAGGCAGGTATCGAGGTGGATCCTTCTAAGGTCTCAGCTGTTCAGAACTGGTCGACACCGAGGAGTCCATCCGAGGTTCGTAGTTTTCTCGGTCTAGCTGGTTATTATCGCAGGTTCATTGAGGGCTTTTCCAAGATCGCCCTCCCTCTATCCCAGCTAACGAGGAATTCTGTGAGGTTCGAGTGGACTGACCGATGTGAGTCGAGCTTTCAGGAGCTCAAGAGGAGATTAACTTCAGCACCGGTGTTGACTATTCCCGATCCTTCTCGGAGTTCCACCATCTTCAGCGATGCTTCGAGACAGGGCTTGGGATGCGTCCTTATGCAGAATGGCCAGGTCGTCGCGTATGCTTCACGTCAGCTTATGCCGCACGAACAGAATTATCCGACGCACGACTTAGAGTTAGCCGCCGTTGTTCATGCTCTCAAGATCTGGCGACATTGTCTTTACGGTGGACGTTGCGAGATTTTCACAGATCACAAGAGCTTGCAGTACATCTTCATGCAGAAGGAGCTTAACATGAGACAGCGCCGTTGGCTCGAGCTCGTTAAGGATTACAATTGCTCTATTCAGTATCATCCGGGAAAGGCGAACGCCGTTGCTGACGCCCTAAGCCGAAAGGTGAGGGGTGACTTGACGTACGTCATTACACAACAGAGTCCGTTGATTCAGGAGTTTGCCCGGATGCAGCTTCAGGCGATCAATGCACTTCCCACAACCATTTCGGGGAATGTCAGTGTCAGTGTCAGTGCCATGCAGCTTCAGCCGACGCTGAGAGAGAGGATACGGCGGGAGCAGGCTTCTGACGAGTTCATTCGTGTCATGGATGCCAAGGTTCGCGCCGGAGGCGTCGAGGGTTTTCAGCTAGGTGCCGATGGTGCCCTAGAGTTCAGGGGCAGGATCGTGGTCCCGAAAGTCGAGGCATTGCGGAAGGAGATTTTATCAGAGGCTCATACCGCACCCTATCTAGCCCCTCCCGGGAGCACGAAGATGCATCACGACCTGAAAGGGTCGTTCTGGTGGCGAGGCATGAAGAAAGACGTCGCCGAG